GGAGAGAGACAGATGGGAAACCTACTAAATATTTACTTGATTTATACAAGAGGAAGAATTCTGGGTCAAGTGAACAGCAGTGTAACTTGAATCACCAGAAAAGAGAGTCACAGCCTCTCATTCAATTCCCAGATGGGAGCCAGTTTATAGACCCACAACCCTTTGAATGAAGGGGTGGTTGGATCCACTTGAGGACGAACCCTACTCCCATGCCAGCTGTTAGTTTTTCTTCCAGCCTTTCTTCCAAAGGGCTCTACAGCCCGTTCACTGGGGAAAAGGAAATAATTAGACTTTTGGGGATTACTGGACAGTACTACCATGTCCTATGATTAAAGTTAATGGTAAACTACAGTAACCCAGTCATGGTGTGGCATTGTGGATTAATGTGCCAGACTGCAAAGCTGTTTGAACTGCAAGGTCAGTGGTTCAAGCTCATCAACTGCTCCTCAGAAACCCTATACAGAGTCGCTATGGGTCGGAATCAACTCGATGGCATTTAACAACAACAACAACTAATAGCTCAGGCACCTTCAGGAATGAAGGTTTAGGTCACGCCAGCAGGCAAAGCTGAAGTGTTGGCCAAGGACAAAGGAAATGCAGAATAGGTAGAGGAAGCAGGTAACTCTTAACAGTTATAAGTTATATATTTAGAAGTACTTCTAAATATGATTACGGAAAGCTTGTAAATCTGTCTTCAGCCTATAATTGACTAAAAAAGGGGTTCTACAACTTGCCCAGTGAAATAGGCTTCCTATGGAGCCTCTGTAGTCTGTAGGACTTTAGGTGGACTCCTGAGCCCCATCCAGAACCTTCTGAGGTGGGATAGTCCCACTTGAAAGGATACACAGACCAGCCTGGAACTTCTTGAAAGAAATATTAACAGGAAAAATCCAAAACAAAAATGGCAGTATTAAGATTGGTTATTACAAGAACAAGCAAGTTGTTCGCTGGGGAACCATTAAGGTAAGCAATTAAGTTCCTTCAGGATAAACCCCAATCCAAGACTGAAACACAAAGGGTACACTTGAGCAGGCATGTAAGCTTGCTGGTAACCATGTTGATCTTCTGGTGAGTAGAAAAGGGGGAAAGGCAGCAATGAAGATATGGGCTGAGTTTGATCATGTTCCATAGACTTTTGTTGACCTGGATATGAGGGAAAGAAGAGGAAGGGTTGGTTGGTCTGAAGTGTGGTGATACCTGGGAACTCCTGAATCCATGGACAAGGACACAGCCATAGAGAGCTAAAGCTGAAAGCGAAGTGTCCAGCTGATATGAAGTAAGCGGAGACACACAAGATCAGCCAAACTTGTAGACAGTACCCATTCAACATAGTTTTGATGGCTGATAATCAGAACTCAATTAGAGGAAGATTAAAAAAAATTTTTTTTAAATAAAGGAAACGTGTAAATTGCTACAATTTGATGAACTTGACCTATAATTATGGATGTAGTAGTTCAAAATACTGAGAGTGAAGGAGTCTTCACATCAAGGATCAATCCTATCCCCTCTATATACAGGGTTGATAGGGATGAGCAACTTAGACATTGGCTACCTAAAATGGTGGGGGTTATAAAGGCGCGAAGTGACTGGCATACAAGTTTTCAAGAGGGAGTGTAGTTTCAGAGGGTGTGGGGGAGGGCAGAATCCCCACTGAATAGTATTCATGTTGTCTAGACAGGTCTGGTGAAAAAAAATGGGGATAAGATTCTTATGATTCAGTAGTGAGTGATTGTTATCATGACTAATTGCTACTATCACAACTGTAAAAGTAGAAGTTTTATAATATAAAGGGGGGAGTAGTTAATCTTACAGTCCAGGAACAAAGGACCCTAGGACTATCAAAGAAGGAGAGCACGAGTGGAATGTGGCACCCTATCCAGAGAAGCAGTGACACCCAAGATGGAGACAGAGATGAGGACATGGAGAGAGAGCGAGCAGCCAAGGACTCTAGACTTATGGAAAGAGAAAGCCTGTGTGCTGGAGGCCAGGTGCTGGTGGCCAGGAGGCACGCTTGCAGAATGTGCCCTTGATGTGTTGTTGAAATGATTATATATTCCGGAGTGTTTTTGTGTACACCCCTCCCCCTCCCCCACAAAACAGAGGGAATAGAAGAAAATACTGTTGAATGATGATGCATGGAGGAGACTGTAATCATTGCAATGAAATGATGAGTGTAAAACTGATGTTTCCCCATGTAAATTATCACTCAATTCACAATTTAAAAATTATGTAAAAAAAGAAAGTTAAAGGGGATAGAGGTAAAAATACTGTTGTATATACAACCTTGGAGAAACAGTGTTCTGTGGGTAGATACATGGACAGGTACACAGGCTGAATGGATACGGGAGGGAGAGTACCCAAACACAAATAAAGATTTGACAGAGGATATATGTATGTGGTTATTAGCTTTGCTGCAAATACACCTATGGACGTGGTTGAGTATTTGTTTTTGTTGTTGTTGTTAAGTGCTGTCAAGTTGGTTCTGACTCATAGTGACTTTGTATAGGGTTTCTGAGGCTTTAAATTTTCACAAGAGCAGAAAATCTCATCTTTCTCCCATGTGGTGGAACATACAGTGAACAAAATGATGAAAACTTCTTAGATACTGTCAAACACCTTGAGACAATGAGTTGCTGGGCCTGGGGGCCAATTTGAACAACATAGTCTCTAAAGACAATGTTCTACATCTTACTTTGGTGATTAGTAACTGGAATCTTAAAAGCTCATTAGTGGCCGTCAATGGTGCAACTGTTGGTGTCTCCATGTACAGAAGAAAGAAGAGTGATGAAATTGAAGGAGCTTGGAATCAATTTGTTCAATGGACTAATGGAATACATGAACATCTGTCTCCATGACTTTGAGACCAGAAGAACTAAATGGTGCCGGCTACTACTACTAACAGCTTTGAAAGATCACATTAAAAGGTCCCGGATAGAGTGGGAGACAATGTGAAATGAAACATAATTATTAAAAAGACTGGGGTTACTGGTCAGAAAGATCCTCAGCAGGTCATCCTTCAGGTCTGGAATGGAACTCATCCTCATGTTCCAATTTTCTTCTATATATGTATACAGGGGGACAACAACACTAATAAGGTATGCTCAAGCAACATATTTATGGACATGATTTAGAGGGGTTTGGAAATAAGGTAGACTGAAATAGGAGCCATAAGAAGGAAGTGGGATAACTTGCTACATGGAGATGATTACAATTATTGAGATGAAATAAAGTGTGATTTGTTGAATACAAAATCAATGATCTGCTCTATAAACCTTCACTCAAGTCATAATAAAAAGTTTCCAAAGAAATTGGTAAGGAACTTAAGCCAAGTAGTTGCCATGAAGTTTTTCAGATAAATAGATTTAAAATGGACATTTACAAACGTTGTTGTTGTTGTTAAGTGCTGTTGAGTCGATTCCGACCAATAGCAACCCTGTATAGGGTTTCTGAGGAGTAGCTGGTGAGTTTTAACAACCGATCTTGCAGTTCAAATGGCTTTGCAGTCTGGTGCATTAACCCACAGCACCACACCAGGACTCCTTACAAACATTAGTACTGTTAGTACTGTCTAAGTTTGAAATGAGATAAGGCTTGAAAACTATATATTCTCTCTTTGTTTGACTTCAGTCACACCTTCCTAGTTAACAATATAGATGATTCCTACTCAGACTACTTGGCTGTCTTTTCTTCCTGACTCCCTTTAATTAGGTTTCCTAAGTTCTCTCCTTGCTCTCTTTTCATTCCACATGTGTTTTCTGGGTAATACTATCCATATTTATGACTTTGTACACTCAGAATTCTCAAATCTCTACTTTTCAACTCTGACCAATTTTTTGTTGTTGTTCTAAACTCATGTGTGTAATGGACTAGTTAGACAATGCAATCTGGATTTTCCACATTGGTTACAAGCAAACATAGAATGCTAGTAATTTGCCCTTTCCTCAAAGTATTCAAATACATGCTAACTACAAGTATATTATATAAAGAAAGCACATATATCTGACATTAAGACTGGAAGAGCTAAGAAACAGAAACTAGTATTAGAATTTGAATCAACTATTTTCTTGCCTTTTTCATAAGATGTGCCATATTACGGGATGAAAAAAGAGTGTATTTGTAAAACATTCATAAATAAATAATATGTTGTTGTTAAGTGCCATAGAGTTGGTTTTGACTCATAATGACCCTGTATAGGGTTTCCAATAAGCAGCTCCAGAGTTTGAATCACAAACTATATGGTTAGCAGTCCAGTACTTATCCTACAGCACTCTAAAATAAATAATATATCCAACCATAATTTAAATAATTTTAATGCCATAAGTCCTAGAAAAACTAAAGGGGCACCCACACAAAAAGACTTTGTTTTCTGCTCAAATGACCACTGATCCTTTCGCCTTCATTTCTTAGAATGTAAGCTCACCAGGGTAGGACTGTTCCTGTTCCTCACATTTGCTGCTGTAGCCCCAGAACATAGAAACAGTTATTCAATGAACATATGATGGCTGAAGCAATTTAAGGGTAGGGGAAAAGTTCTATTAATATTAGGAATAACATATCTTTTAAAGTATAGTGACAGACATTTCATACTTTCGAAGAGATACTGTTCTCCAGCTTTTCAATGGTAAGTTCTCTAAAAAATAAGGTTAAAATGAATTGAACGGATTCAGGGATAACTTTCATTCTTCTTGTCATATAGGTTAGTGGTATTTTTTTGGTACCACAAATTCACTTAGGTAACGAAACAAATGCAGAATAAAATATATGTAAATACATCTCGCTTGAAAAATGTAGCCATCTGTCTAGTTTTTCCAGTATTCAGCAGATTTTAGCATGGTGCTCAGCAGTTTAGTGCCAACCTTGTTAGCCCAGGAAAAGCAAATGACTACGTAAGACAAAAAATTTTTTTATCAATCTGTTAAAGAGAATAAAGTTATTTGAATTATAATTTAGATAGTAAATTTAGGAATCGGAATTCACATTTCTTTCCATTTTGTTCTTACCTTCACATGAACAGCCCTGTCTTATCAAACCAACCATCAATGAGGTACACTGATGACATTTTGTAGGAGTAGTAAATGATTTTACAAAAAATTGATGAGTCTTGCGCTGTAAGACAAAATTTTAAATGCACATATTAATATGAAAGGATTTACATAATGTGAGTCCCTCTGCTCCACAGCACCTACAAGAATACTTTCTAAATTGGGATATGATAAATTCTATTTCTTATCACATCTTCTTAAAATTTATGCTCTTCTAATATTATTATTATAAATTATTGATCAAGACAAATACAAATGATATAAGAAGTTAAATGCCATTTGAAATGTGTATAAAGTAAACTTTAGATTTTGGTGTGCTCTTAACTCTTAACATCACAACTTTTATAATTCTTCTTCAAATTACTCTCTAGTAAAGCATTAAATTAAAATTTGCACATTTATATCTATAAACAATATATAATTCACAATATATATTATACCATCTGAGGAAGAACAAACAATACTTTAAAGTTGTTATTTCTACTGTAAATCATACATTTCATTTTTCTGGAACCAAGGTCAAAGTACATGATTTACAAATCTGTTTCTTACCAAGGAAGCAGGTATTATTATACTTGAGCAGATCAAAATACACACATAACATTCCAGAAGGTGACTATTTGAAATTTCTTATTGAAAACACTATAAAGGTCTCTAAATCTTGTCTGATTTATATGATGGTAAACCAATATAGGGTTTACCTCTCTGGACTACTCTTTTATTCTCCAGATTAATTTTTATCATGTCAACAGTAAATGAATTATAATAAATATCTGTTCTTCCATTCAGCAAATTACTTAATTCATTTTGGTCTCATTCTCCTCATCTATAAAATAGGATCAATAATAACATATACTTTATGGGGTGGTTGTTGTTGTTGTTGTTGTCAGGTGCCATCGAGTCGGAACCGACTCATAGCGACTCCATGCACAGCAGAACGAAACAATGGGGTGGTTAGATGACTATTATAAACAAAGTCTTTCAGACAGTGCCAGGTATAATAAGTACTGAATACTTATTTATTTATGCAAACTAATAATTTGGTTAATTATTTCTTTTTTATATGTGTGACTGATTTAAACTAGTAGGAATTTTATTTAAATTCTGATAAAATGTGAAGACACTAATTAGAAACAGTTACAAAGTAGTATTTCAGGTGAAACTAATTTATATTAACAGAAAAAAACTAAAGGGAATGTTTAAAGTTTTTAAATTTAAGTTAAAAAAACAACCAAAAAAACCCCTAAAATGAGGTGAGACTCTCAAATTTAAAGCAGTCATGAACTCTGGTTCACTTCAAATCATTCCATTTTAGAAGTTCCTCAGGATCCTTGGTCTGTTTCAAGTCAGCACTGGGATTTGACGCTAAACTAAACAGAACATAAACAGATACTTAATGTATGCTTACTGAACACAAAGTAAGGTACAGACATTGAGCCAGTACTTTACATACATCATGTCATGTAATGGAAACAACTCTGGAAAATAGATATTATCTCCTTAGATAGATGAAAGACTCCTGGTATGGTGCTGTAGGATTAGTACTGGACTCTGGACCACCAGATTGGCAGTTCAAACCCAGTAGTTGCTCCTTGGAAACCCTATATAGGGTCGTTACAACTCGGAACTGACTCATTGGCATTTAACAGCAACAGCAGATAAATGAAGGAGCTAAAATTCAAAGAGCTGAAATTCCAACCCAGACTCTGCAACCTCTTAAAGTTTGGTACTCAAAAAACATGTAAAAAGACAACAAACAAACAAAAACCATGCAAAAACCGTGCGCCCAACCCAGGGAATACACAGGATATATTTCAAAACTAAGGCCTCTGTGCCACATATGATATTTTGCTTAACCTATCTCCTTGAAATCCTGGTGTGGTAGACCCCAAGGTTAGTTTGAACTACAAGGTCGCTCCTTGAAAACCCTACACAGGGTCGCTATGAGTCAGAACTGATTTGAAGGCACTTACTAACAACAACAACATCTCCTGTATACTTACTTTACTCAATCTCTAGCTCTCTGAGAAATTCACTATAAGAGTAAATTTTCTAGTGTTAAGTTTCATTGTTAAAAGTAAATTAGTGAAAAGATGCAAAGTTAGTTTGCTGATTAGTTTTCCAAGCTTTTTTTTTATTATTAAAAAAAGAATTAACTGCTCAAGGTAAGTAACTTCATTCTTGTATTCTTCATCTACAGTATAATGAATGAAATATAGCCAAAACAGCAGCAATAAAACAGCTGTGGTTATGACTAGCTTAATAGTAATTCTTCACAATAACTAAGACACTACTTTAAAAACATTTATTTTACACTTTGTTGCTGTTGTTGTTAGGTGCCATGGAATTGGTACCGACTCATACCGACCCTATGCACAACAGAACAAAACACTGCCTGCTCCTGGGCCAACTTCATAATTGTTGCCACGCTTGAGATTGTTGTGGTTTGCTGTGTTCTGTCAAGTTGCTTGTGTCCTGTCGAGATGTCAGAAGGAGCCAAATCAGGACTGTAAGATGTAAGGTGGATATCTAATGATTTCATTTAAAAACTCTCACAAAATTGCCCTTGTTTGATGAGAGGAATGAGCAGATTTGTCATGGTGGAGAAGGGTGCTCTGGTGAAGCCTTTCCGGGTGTTTTTCCTCTAAAGCTTTGGCAGACTTTCTCAAAACACTTTCACAGTTTGCAGATGTTACCATTGTTTGGCCCTTCTAAATGCCTTGTGCCTTTCAAAAACTTTTGCCATGACTTTTGTTATTGAGGTCTGATTTGTTTTGACTATACGACTTCCACCTCTTTGTAGCCGTGGCTTTGGTTGTGCTTTGTCTTCAGGATCACACTGGTAAAGCCATGTTTCATCGCCTGGTACAATTCTTCCAAGAAATGCTTCAGGATTTTGATCCTACTTCTTTAAAATTTCCATTGAAAGCTCTGCTCTTGTCTGTGGCTGATTTGGGTACAACAGTTTTGACAACCATTAAGCACAGAGTTTGCTGAACTTCAATTTTTTTCAGTGAGAAAATTTTTTTTCCAGGAACATGGTACATTCTTCCATTTTTGTAAGTCTCTTTTGGTTTCTTGTAGTAGTGTTTTGTAGTTTTCTTTGTATAAGTCCTTTGTTTCTCTG